GTCATTAAAAAAATTTAGGAAGACATAATATGACAAAAGATATTATGAGGATATAATTTGTCACTTTTGTGTATCTTACATCCCGATATGGGATGCATATTGTGACAAACTTAATTGTGAACACGAAATATTTGTCACATTACTCACTTTAAATGACGACTTATTCGGACAACTATTTTTTTGTCACATTAGGCATACAAAATAGGACATATATTATTTTTTTTCATATCACCGTACCAATTGTGACAAAAAAATGACAAAATAATTTTTTTGTCCTAATAGGCCGAATTTGTTGTAGTGAATGAAGAAACGTGGATGAACCTTCACTTTGACACAAAAGATCATGGATTGCTGTGGTACAAATGCTATGCACATTATAAGGGATTTTCTGTTAGAGAAACAGGAGGGGTTAAGCGAACAAGCAATAACAAACCGTGTGAAGTTGTAAGATATTTTGGGGGCAGATGAAATAAGGAAGGTTGGCGAAAAGGTAGTGCAAATAATCCAGCAAATGATGACCATGTTGACCAACAACCTAAAAGCAGAATCAGAAAAGAGGATAGATGGGATTGCAAAGCAGTGATACGCTTCCAGCTTGAAGATAGTTCCCAAAAATACTACATTTCAAGCTGGTTAGACGAGCATAATCACAAGATGATCCCACCCACCATCATCAAGACAATTCATGAGATCAAATAGAACGATGAATGAAGTGCAAAAGTTCTTGATTGACATGTATCACAAAGCTGGAATATCGATACAATCATCATTTCAAGCATTATGCTGCCGGAGGAAGAGAAAATGTGTGTTTCACACAAATGGACCACAAGAATTATATCCGTACTAAAAGGTGGGTTTTGCACATTTTATAAGCTTTTTGGATCTGTTTTGTATTGTTTATACTATTTTTCTTAGTATAGCCTGTTTGATCTCTGTACTTTGTATGTTTTGGTAATATTCTTTGTACTGTTTGTGTATTGTATGTTTTGGTCTAATCCTTTGTACTGTTTGTATACATGGGGACTAAAAGGCAAACGACAATGAAGTTTGGGGAGGCAACCTTGATTTATATATCATCATTTCAAAAGTGAAGCTTCAATGGACCCAACTTTCTTTTATGAGATCCAAGTTGACATCAATGAGGAAATTACAAGTATTTTCTGGGCGGATGGACGCATGAGAATGGACTATTTCTATTTTGGTGACACCATCAGCTTTGACACAACATACCGCACCAACAAGAATGCTCGCCCATTAGGTACTATAATTTTTTAACTTTCACTAACATGTATGCTTGAAATGATTTTCTTCCATATTTGTCATGATTCTGTACATTTTGTACTATAAGTCTCTATATATGATGATTGTTATGAAAGTTTATTTTGTTTGTAATGTTTTCCCCTCTAGGCTTGTAATTGTAGTGTTGTTTGTTTGTACAAACGTATGGTTTATACGTTTTGTACGAAATATCGTATGTCTTTATAACTTTAGTGTATCAGTTTATATGGTTTGTTTCTGTTTGTAATGTTAGTAATGTTGTGTTATCTGTTGTTGTTTGTATTCTTAGTATGTTTTTCTTTTACAGTCTGTATTCTTAGTATGTTTTTCTGCTCTGTTCTGTTACTTTGCAATATGTCAGTTTTGTTAAACCTCATTACTAATTTTAAACAAAATTTTCATTTTAGCTTTATTTGTGGGCTTCAATAACTATAGAGAAACATGTGTTTTTGGTGCTGCCCTACTCTATGATGAGACATCAGCCACATTTGATTGGCTCTTCAAACAATTTCTCATATGCATGAACGGGAAGGAACCGGGAGCTGTTTTTACCGATCAAGCAGCAGCAATTGATGCTGGTATGGGGACAACATTGTTGCGCACTTATCATGGGCTGTGCACATTCCATATAACAATGAATGCAAAGAGTAATGGGTTGTGGTGGTCACTATTTTTGGAAGAGCTTTCCTTCTTGATGTATGATTTGGAGACGGAGGATGAATTCGACTATTATTGGAAGAAGATGCATGATAATTGCTTCAATGAAGAAGGGAAGAAATTAACAAGTAAGATTGAGACATGGCTGCAAAACCTCCACAAAGTGAGTAGTAAATGGTCATCGGCATGCCTGAAAGATCATTTTGCATGTGGAATGAGAAGCTCACAACTCAGCGAGAGTTGCAACAGCCATTTGCGCAAGTATCTCAAGTCAAGACTTACTTTGTGGGAGTTTTTATACAATTCAACAACCTTCTTTAAGCCAAAAAGACATAAGGAGTTGAGAAGTGACTATGATGCATTGAACACTATTCCATACTTGGCTTTCACGAACAGTGAGATTCTTCAATAGCTTGTTACAAAATATACACAAAATATATTTGGGAACATGCAAGATGAATACTCCAAGTCAATCAAATACCATATACGACCAAACAACTCTAAGAATATAGATGAAATGTTTGTGTATCAAATAATAAGAGCCTCCACCACACTCCACTAATGATAGAAAAGCAAATATCCTCCTTAAGGATGCATTTTCCTTGACATATAATTTTTTTCTTAAATCATCTATTTGTTTTATTATATGATGTGCTTGCTAATTATAATATAGTTCATGACTCATCCACCGTTGTTATAACATATATCTCCCTTCTCCGATCTCAATAATTAAAATCTAAAATGATCCCATTAAATATATTTAAAGTCTAAAATGAGCTTCTCAGTCGCTCACATTATTAATAAACATATTTGCTTGACCACTGAAATGTACTTAACTTGGATATAACTTATGTAAATTATGTTATTGGAGCTATTAAAAAAGCCAATAATTGCAGGTATACATAATGATAATGTTAGGATCTTTATAAGTGAGTAAGGGCTAAATATAAATAAAAACAACAGATTTAAATCTTGAACTTAAATCTTGGAGTAGGGGCTAATATCGTTTATCATGTGATTTTTCAATATCTTCTCAACATATAAATATGCACATTATAATCTTAGAGCAGTTATTGAAAAGTACTTAACCCTCTCCTAGAGAATATAGGTCGCTCCACCATCGATACAAGTATTTTACAAACCCGCATACAAAGAGATCATTTTTTATGTGTACCAGAGTCTTAAGTTCAACATTGGTTAACTTTAAAAACTTACATTGTTTAAGCTTTCAAACGGTTTGGTTACCATGTTAATCGTTTTAACCAGTACTATTTGGATAATTTGGTTTGGTTAATTTGGATAATTGGTTTGGTTTGGTTAAAGTTTTTAGCTTGTTTGGTTTAGGTGGTTTGGTTTGGTTTCAGACACTCCTAACCAGTCAAACCAAATTAACCAGTTAAGTAATTAGTCATATATCTAACATATATTATATACACATACTTAATACTTTGCATAACCACTCAAGAGTTAACGTTCATCCCTTTTAGACTCATAAAATATAAAGCTCAATATTGCTCATATATTGTATATTTGTATATGTAAAATGTAGACCACAATATATGGACGCCTAATTTAGATAAATTTCATACATTATGATGGATGAAAACTTGAAAGGAAGGTCATTTCCAGCCTATGATAATTGCTAAGAGACTAAGTCAATTTACACAAACACAACAATTCATTAACCCATACCATTGTCATAAATTTTTGTTAGGTGAATACTTCTATACTAATCATAAGATAATTGTCTTACTTGCATGTATTTTTGTTAAGGGTCAACTATAACTACGTGTTGATTGTTATGTTTTATTCATTATATAAATTGCGAATTGTTGCATTAACCGGAAAATTTTCATCGTCAATGATAATGTGATTTTATATTGGTTAATCTGGTTAACCAATTAACCAAACCGATTAAACTTTAGTTTGGTTAATTTGGTTGTTGTATTAGTTTGGACAGTTTGCTTATGATATTGTATTCCATGGTTAATGGAATTTAGTCTTATTTGGTTTGGTTATAACCATGATAACCATTTGAACACCCCTAGTTTAAGCCCCAATCCACGTGTTATGTAATCGAGAAACTTTACAGGGAATGGAATCATACATTTTCTGTCAATGGATACATCAATGATATTCCTATATTAAAAGGGAAGGACAAATGAGTTGAGACGTAAAATTAAAATTGAATAACTCAAAGTTATCGTCATACCACTCGTATCGCTAAATCATTCCTATGATAGAACACATATGACACCTAGCATAACCAAATGACTAACTTTCATATTGAGTAATCCTAGATACACGTGTATAAACTAAAGCATGGACAATAACAAATACTTGCACCAATCTACAAGAACAATCAAAGGCAAACACTACACAGAACAGAACCCCAAAAAGGCCAAAACAAGGATTGAAACAGTAAAGAAAAAAACAGCAAGAAAAAAAAAAAACCCTAATTTACTCCTCCATTTAATCACTTTCTCTTCATATGTCTTTTTGCCCCCTTCTCGTCGCCTTATAATATAATAATAAATTTTCTCTCTTTTTTTTTTTCCCTTCCTTCCTTTTGATGCCTTGTTTCCCTCTTCCATGTCTGCCCTTCTTTTCCTGCCTGGTTTCAGAAACTCCTTTTAGCTAGAAACGATGGAGAAACCAAAACTTTTGGCATCTTATGGCTGCATGATCCTCATATAAGGCGGATGACAGCTCATCTCGAAAAATCATTGCTAAATTCTATAATCATCTCGGAAAACACCTCTTTCTCCCATCGAAAGTAATATCCTCGTTTCTTCAATCGTCATCTTTAGGTGTTGTCACTAATATACTTAACCATCCTTGCTAACATTTAGAGACGATGCACGGCCCGAATTTTCACAACCCAAGAAGAATGTAGTAAACGAGTGTAATTGGCAACGCTATCAACATTCCAAAGATAACCCTGCAAGATATATGAAAGTACGATTATAATTAAAGTCAAATGAATAATTAATCAACTTAATTGCGCAACTAATTCTTCTCTTAAAAATAATTTGCTTCTAATTTTGGAGGGGGTTTTGAATAACTTACGCGGTGCTGAGAATTGCAGGGTGAACGTTGTATTCCTTGGCAAAGACGAATGGTACAATCCCTTGTGGCAAGGCAGCCTGAAAAATTTTCATTAACAAATATAATTGATTATACTTCAATTCTTGTAAACAAATATTTTCCTACTAACAAGTAGGTCTTCTGAGTTAAGAACCCTAATTACTACCAAATACTGATATATCAAAGTACGAGTAGGAGGGTTGATAAGTACATATGAAGTAACTCTAGACTCTTGGATTAACCAATCCAGTTAGCATGCTCAGACGCTAGTGCGAAAGCACGATATACAATCGGATTTCCAAACTAACACTTGTTTGAAATGATTTAACATTATCCAAAAGGATTGTGGGCTGTGGCATTCTTCATTGTCTCAGGCCAAATTACGATATACATGATCAGAATCAGCCGCGTCATCACGCTCGCCGGCGGCATTTGCCTGTTCCTCCCCATGCCGGCGTCTCCTCCTCCGGCGGCTGCTGCCGCCGCCGCTTTCGGGTTCATCTCCGCCGATCCCATCTTGTTCAGCCCCATCAGCTGTTCTCCCAATTCTTTATCCTTCTCGTCTTCCCCTTCCTTGAAGGCGAAGCTGAAATCCTCGCCGCCGGGGAACTCCCCTGCTTCAGGTGACAACAGGGTATTCTCTAATTGGTAAGTAATGTTGGCCGGGAAATTGGGAATGAAATAAATAACGAAAAAATTCGTTACCTTTAGTTGTTTCTCCGTTCTGCGGATGATCGGAAACGAGCATCCTGATTTCTTTGGCACCCTGTTCGGACTCAGTCGATCCCCCGAGAACGTGGAGTCCGCCGCCGCCGGCGGCGGCTTCCGACACCGGAGAATTGCTCGAGCTCCAGACGAACATATGAAGCTCCTTGGCGTCGTGATTCGATTTTCCGCTGCCACCATTGTTACTACTCGGCTGCAATGTCGCCCCTGCTCCCATTGGAGGATTGCTCTTGGCGACCTTCGCCGGAGCTGCGGCGGCCGCGACGGAAGAGAATTCTGGGTTCGGAGCAGGGTAGTACCCAAACCTCGGAGAAACTCCGGTGGCGGCCGTGTTAGCGCAATTCTCCTCGAAATTGGACGGCCGGGGAGTCGGGCCGCGGGAGGACTGAACAGAGTACAAATCCGCCGCCCCGAAATTCGAAACCCTCGGGCCCTGACCCGACCCGAATCCCTGAACCCCCATCATCGAGTAGAAATCCGCCGGATTGAAATTCGAACCCCGGGGAGTCGGATTCCGCGACGAGCTCATGCTGTAAATCTCGGCGCCGGTCAAATTCGACGGGCGAGGAGTCAACCCGGAAAACGACCCGACTCCGAGTCCCAACCCGGAAACCGACCGCCTCGAGACATTCGACTTCCTCACTTTAACGTGAAGCTTCCCGTCGTCCCCAATCTCGGCGTCCGTCTCGAGAAACTCCCGCCCGTCGAGCGAAACGACGTCGGAGTCGACTTTAAACGACACGATCGAAGCCGCCGTTTCGGGGAACTGCTCCATGATCAAAATCTTGGCTCCCCTGTACTCGAACAGGAACAAAAGCAGAGTGTACCAGATTATACACTGCAAGACGACGACTTGGACCATCAAGCTCCCCGAGTAAGGTCCGTACATGGCAATTAACAGAGGGATTCCCATCACCAAGGTGTTGGGCAGAGTGGAGAGGGAGAAAATGGTAATCATCCACTCGAGGCTGCCGGATTTGGTGACGTTGGTCCAGATTCCGAGGGCGAAGAGCATGATGATTTTTTGCAGGGTGTCGGCGGCGATGAATCGGAGGTTCATGGCGTAAGGGTCGTTGGTGGAGATGAAGTGGAAGGAGAGCAGAGGGACGGCGAAGATGGCGACGAAGCGGTTGATCCCGGAGCATTGGTCCGGCGTGAAGATCTTCCACCACCGGACGGAGCCGTAGGCGAGGATCATGGCGACGTAGAGAGGGACCACCGCCGTCATCACGCTGTAGAGGTCCTTCCATGTGATCATGGCGGCGTCGGTGTTTTGGGATGTGGGTTTTGTTGGGGAGGGATGAAAGTTTGGACCTTTGAAGGTTTTTCAGAGGAAGAAGAGGGGAGACGGCATTGAAATGAAAGAAGAAGAAGAAGAAGAATTCCTCTTTTTGGGTGGAAATTGAGAGGTGGGTTTTCGAGGGGAGGGAAGAAAGAGTGGAGCTTTGGAGGGATTTCAGAGGAAGGAGATGGAGAAAGATGGCATTGAGATGGGAGAAGTTTTCTTCTTGAAGAAGAGGAAGAAGAAGAGGAGGAGAAGGGAAGGAGTTAGTTAGTTAACTACTTTCTTTTGGGGACTGTGGGATCTGTACTGAGTTCTTTCTTTTTTCTATTTGGCTCAGGGAGTGTTTGGTGATTGATGAATTCTAGAGAGAGAGAGAGAGAGTTGGGGAGAAGGGAGAGGGAAAGGTAGGGAGTGACTTTTGGTTATATAGAGAGAGTGGTGGGGGAGATGAGGAATATGGGAATTGGGGATGGGGGAGGGGCATGAGCAATAGGGATGGCAATGGGTAGGGTCGGGTGCGGGTTTACCCTATACCAACTCCTAACCCGCCGGATAGAGCCTTCTAAAATACCCAGCCAAATAACTACCGGGTATGAAAATTATATAACCATACCCTACCCACCGGGTAACCACGGGTATTCGGGTAACCATGGGTACGAATGTTAAACTATGAACTTATATACATATATGCACACACATATTGTTGTCCATTAAAAATTCTCAATACTTGTAATTGTTCTAGCTTCAACAATCCACACAAATAAAAATAGCAAACACATAATAATTATTCTTACTTCTACAATCCACACAAACATAATAATTGTCTACATCGACGAAGGAGATTAGAGAGGAGACACTAAATATATACAAGATACTTCTTACTTCTCCTTTAAGAGTTGGTGGCAATCTTGCATGAGGAGCTGGGCAAGGCTCAGAATGGAGGAGTTTTCTTTTGGTTGGGTGAAAACTTATACAAGTTTTTAGGGTAAATACAATATATTAGCCACAACTATTATGAAGCGGGGAATTATAGCCACAACTATTGAAATTCAAATTATTAGCCAAACGTTAACTATCTGTTAACAATTTCGTTAGTAATACTAAGTAAACTTTTATGTTTTGAAGTTATAAACTAAAAGCATTCCTACGTGGCCGCTGTCGTGGCCGATGACTTGACCTTCTCCGTCAAAAATTCAATAACATTAACAGACAGTTATCCATATCTTGACCTGCAACAATAGTTATGGCTAATAATTTGAATTTTCATAGTTATGGCTATAATTTCCCGTTTCATAATAGTTGTGGCTAATATATTGTATTAACCCAAGTTTTTATAGAAGTGTATTATTTATTTATGGGAAAAGAAATGGTCAAGGGAATGAGGATTTAGGGGTTTTGGTGTTAATTGTAGAGGGCGGATAATTTTAGCAAAAAAAAAAAAAAACTGTTATGGTTGCATTAGTTCACAAAGGTGTTTCATTTTATGTTTAAACCGATGCATGGGTGTATTTATATGTCTTGGCGTGAATGCATGCAAATATATGTTCTTCCTAGGATTTTGAGTAAATGAAAAGGCTCTAAGAACCGTGGGTTAGCAAAGAGGAGAAGCATTTCACGATGTGTGCATAAATGTATAATTGTGGCCATGAATTAAGATGAAAGGGGATTTGTTTATGCTTAAAGAATTGAGAGTAGGTAGGATCAAGATCGATAATAGTAGCTAAACTCAATTTCTCAAGCTAAACTAAATTTTTCAAGGGAAATTGACCATTTGGTTAGCGGGGCGGGTATAACGGGCGGGTATTATCGATTACCATACCCGTACCCTACCCTTTATTTTGAAACCGGATATTACCCGTACCCGCCCCTTAACCCGTCAAAGCGGGTAATTACCCTCGTTGACCGGTTACGGTCGGGTAGGGTACCCATGGTTACGGGTTGGATTGACATCCCTAATGAGCAAGTGTGGATGCATATGAATATGTGTGTTTTTTGAGAGGAGAGAATAATTGAAGTGATTGAGTTTTTAGTACTATTCTATCATGGAGGAGAGGAGGGAAAAGGTGGGGAAATTGGGGGAAAGTTTGGAAGAAAGGAAAGCGGTTTTTAGGGGGAAGATGATGGGACCAATTGGTAGTTAACACTAAACAAGAAGCAATGAGAATAGGGTCCATCTATGGTTTCTTGTGCTTTGAAATAGGGAGACTTAATTATTAGAAACAAATTAGAAATAGTTGAATTCTTGTTTACTTGAAATAAAGATGCTAGAATGTCTTAGTGCAAGTCAAGTCTAAGTTACTAGAGATAGAATATAAGATGAAGATATAATTTGCAAAAGGGAAGTAGATGATCAGAGATTCCGCTTAGTTGTCAAATGAATCTTCTCATTACGTATTAATGGAGGGAAAATATCATCTCAATAGGATTTGTTGTTATGACGATTTCAGGTATAATTTCCGTTTAAAGAGCATGTTGTTACTGACTGTCAACAACAACGCAGTGATCGTTAGCCATAGCAGGCACAAGCATCAAATTTCCCAAACCAAAAATTGTTGGGCTATTGATATAAATAGGTAACACTATGATCCCCGTCAATATTTATAGTAATGGTCTCCGTATAGCCACCCCTAAACACTAGACTTTTCACAATACTAATTCAACAACATTGTACCGGAGAAAATAAAATGAACTTTTTTTATAAGGGTGATACAGGTTTTTCTTTTGTTATTAAGGTACTACTTAAGATATTCTAACATGGGACCTCCAGGTTCTAGACTAGTGATATTACCACTAGACCAAGCCTTTTTTGTATGAAATCAAATCGGATAACATCTCAATAGAATACACCAACCATGTACAGTGAAAACTATCACCCATCCTACCACGACTTTTCTCTCATCAAACTAGGATCAAACTAATAACGTTATCTACAAGACTACAACAACAAACTTCAAAGTTTGGGAAAGGACAAGAGGATGTTCAAAGGGTGACTCATCTTGGCAATCAATTATTAGTTGAGATGTCACGCTTTGGTTGGATCAGTAAGCAGTACTTACTGTTTAACCATTCAACATAGTAGTACTACCACATTAATTGGATCAGACTAATTGACCAATGCTTAAGAACTGATTAAGAAGTCAATCCTCGTCCAATTTTAGTCCCGATAATTTCATCGAAGAGAATGTGAATAATAAGTCAATCCTCAATTACAAGAAATCAAGAATGGAACCCTAACTTTAGTAGTAGAACATAAATATTACTAATTGAATTGGGTGAGCCCAAAATTTTGAAATATGTTTGACCGAAGGAACGATGTAGTGAGCCCGAAAAGCGGGCGAAAGAACGAAGTTGCTCGACTGAAAAGAGAGGAAAAAATTCACTCATATATTTGAACAAAATCTAACTATAACATCTGTTCATCATCCATAAAATACAATAATACCAAAATGGAGAGTCGAAGTTTTGTTTATGGTTTAACAGCAAACAGCAGTGAACCACACGTTATTTGATTAATCACAACCATATTTTTAATTAATGGTGATGTAAATTAGTTGTTATATGTGACATAAAAGATTCGTATTTGATATCTTCAAGTTGAAGATAAATCATTATACCACTAGACCAAACTCTTATCATCGTGCACCGTCTGGAACTGACAGCAGTTTTTGTGTTCTGGTTTCCTATTTCTTTCTTTCTTGCAGGCTAGCTGCCGTCACAAGAAATCGAGTGAGCCAGCCGATCCGTTCGACATAAAATGGAAAAGCTTTGCATTTGACTTTCTGATGTACGTGCAGATCGATAAATATATATCTTGCATATATGTTATAGAACCAAAATATTTTGTATATGATGTTGTAAGATTATGTGATGGGAGAGCAATCTTATTTGATGTCACACATGTAAAAGTTCATTATTGTGTGACGAGACAAACTTCACCACACGTACGTACGTATGGCTTTCTTTCTAGGCAACCACATAAATTGCATAAGTGAAATAATGCAATTTTCGTCCACATTTGTTTCATAGCTAGATACGTTACCATATATCTTATGGAGTAATAGTAACGGTATATATCATGTCTACTATGTCTAGGGTGACGATACGCCTATAATTCGCGAGTCATATAAGAACGTCATCAACAAAGAACATCTCTCAATAACTTGCATGGGAATCAAAATGCTTATGGATATTAGACAAAGACATTCCATTACTTTAACCCTCACTCGCTTTCTCTCAATATCTCCATGTACCTCAACGAACCAAAAAAACCCTAGCATTAGATTAATTAATAAATAAAAGTCGTGAAAAAACAGCCGTGCAGCACACAAATACTCCTCATGATAATAATTAACTAGTAGTAGGTTGAAATAACAAGTTCTTTGTCGGGATTTAATTTGACTTGCGACTTCCAGAAGTCTGGTTTCTCATTATCATGAAATCTGGTTTTAATTGGAGGGAGTTAATTAGTTGGTTTATATTAGGGTTTAGTATTTGTTTTATTAACGAATCGCTTTCATCTAATAAATCCAAACGACAAAAATATAATTAATTAAAACGTTAAGCTAATGAGAATCTCAACCCTTTAGACGGCTGGTTCTTGCTAATTAATTGATTAACGTTGTAATTAATCTATTATAAGTAGTTGTTGAGTGTTTGCTGCTGTTGTTGTTGGTGATGCAATCGCAACGAACCATTGTCGTTGCCAATTTTCTCATCCTCATTCAGAGGAAATGGATATAGAAAAGCTGTCATCATCAGTTTAGAGAGGCTTACGTACGTGGTGATAGAGTTCATGTTTTGTCTTCAGATTCAGTTATTAAAACCATAGTTACATATTTTATTAAATGTCCCCCCTTGGATCCATATAGATTGCACTATTTGAAAAAAAAAAAGATGTGCAATGATAAACGTTAAGACGTTATACGAATCAAAAGGAGCTCAAACAGAGATTTTCAAAATATCATTGATTCGAATCGGGCAAGGGAAAAGATCGCAAAGTAACCTTCTTAATAATCCGAAGTTTAGTTTTGATATCATAATGACGTTAAGAATATTGTTCATAGAGTTGTCTATTTCGTGTCTATGTATGGTGATTGTTTAATTTGTGTACATAGTGGGTGATTGTTTAATTTCTTGGACTACAAGTAAGATAGTTTCTTTTTGGGGTAAATAGAATTGTTTCTGGTTTATCACAACATAATTAAGAGGAAAGAACACTCTCCAATGGGCTTTTCTTAGTGCAGTTCATAGGAAGAGAAAAGAAGTAAAGAACACTCCTTCGCTGACTAGTTCCCACTTCCTAGTGTCAAAAAAACCCAGTGCCATTGCTACTGTAAGAATGATCTACCAAACAATCAAACCTGTCACCATAACTTCAGAAAGGCAGCAGCATTTTGCACCTCGAGATAGCAGAAACCGGAGGATGAAAGTGTCCCGGAGATGCTGATTCTGAACCTGTGACAGCCAAATGTTACAGAAGCTCTTTGAATCAATCTAAATTTGCAGTCCTTTTCCAAGTTTATGGCCATTTCCAGACACCAAAACCTCCGGACGGTTTCAAACAATCATAGTATAGTTATGAATGCAGGGATGCAATTGGTGTGAAAGCCCACAAAGGAAACTGACACTTCCCCAAATCCTGAACTTGCTAGGTAAAAGCAGACGAAAGCAGGACGAATTGCAGGACGAAGATTCTCAGGAGTCCATCTTTCTGTGAGAAGAATTCTGAGCTCTTTATTAGACAACCCTTCTTCTAAAATAGAGAAGGGAGGCCAAGCAAATGATGACTTCTGTTAGGGTAAGACCCACCACGTCAAAGACAAATTTTGGAGCAAACAGCCCCCAGACCTGCAAAGGATGATGCAGCAGCCAATGTCAACAAGAGAACACAGCAAGTGCCACTAGGTTAAATACATCGATTCGATCATTTGGAGGCTGGCTACATTTGTGCAGTATGAATTACCATGAGATGCCTCCTCTGGATAGTAACGCATAATATAGTGGCTGTCACTGTGGTGGCTGTGATGTAGTCCATAAGCCATATACATCTGCCAATAAAATAGAAAAAAGTTGTAACAACTGAGACAACTGATTGAAAAGAACATTCATCCCAGGGTTAGTTTGTTTGCGACCCAGAATAAGAAATGGAAGCCCAATAACAGGAAGGATGAGGGAAAACCCAAATGTCTCCAAAGTAAGAAGGATTGCTTGACGGACAAGTACAAACTCGTCAAATCTGCAACATAAAGAAAAAATCAAAATTATCACAAAGGTTTATCAGTAGTAGACCGCTTGCTGGGAATTGAAGGAATACTTGTAAGCATTGCATATGATATGACTAACCCAATAAATGCAGCACCATAGCGAAGGCCATCAAAAGCACACCTGAGAAGAAGGATCTCTTAGACATGCTTGCTGTGTGAGAAATAGAGGGTGTCATTTTGTAAACAACAATGTCAATAGAGGGTAAGCATTCTTGCCAGTGCCCTGAGGCGAAAAACAGACATACGGCTAAAAGGTTCCATTGTGTCACAGCGAGAAGATTGAAGCTTGAGGTTCTAGATTTCCCACCATTTGCATCTTTTCCTGTATTCTGCAACCTTGTTATGCAGTACCCTGTCAATATGCAAAGTTCTTTTACACAATAAGAGATGGGACATTTTGGAGAGATAAACCTATTCTTCACTTCCTTTCAATCTAAGCAAAATGAACCCTATATTTGAACGCTTGTGAAGCATGAGAATCTAAGAGAGGATTTGCTATAAATAATGACATAAAATAACAAAGGTGAAGAATAGAACCTCCAACTATTGATGCCAACACAATCCAGGAACCTTGTTTCCCAGACAACAATATAATCGTTGGATTCCAGGCAGACAACATGGATAATGTCTTAATCATCAAGCTCTTTCTATTATCTGCAACTTTCTCTTCATTAAAAGCATGCTAAATGACAGAATCAGAAGTTGGGAAAACCCAATGGCATATACTGCTTGAGGGATGTAGTTCCTCCCAATTCCTTCGAACATAAGAGGCAAATTTTGTGCGTTGCTCTCGAGCACCCAGTGCAGTGCTATGAGAATATAGCTTGGAATTGTTAACATGACAATGCACTTCTGAATGCCTTGGAAGTTCCCAGTAATCACTTTGTAAACTATGCAAGACAGTACAACTAATACTAGGAGAGGCCCAACTTAAGCAGCATAAACCCACAAGGAATCACCAAGAGCAATCCCAGTTATCCAAGAAGAAGAAGCATGCATGAATGCTGAAGTGGCAGCCTGCTTTGACATCCCAATCTCAATTGTAAATCTGAGACCTAAGACCAATAGAAGGAATAAAATCGCCTGCAAAAAAAAAATCGAACCAACATATTTCAGTTCATTGGAGCAAAGAGCAATTGCTTGAAAGACTGTATATTGAATTCCGTGTACATAAACATAAAGGGGGAGCAGTACATACTTCAACTAGCATCTCCTTTCTCATGATTGAATAACGTAATTTGACCAATGCCAGTTGAGGCCAGCAAAAAACAAGCAACTTTCCCTTCTTCCACTGTTTCACATGGTTTAAGAGAAACAGAAATCAGTTGATGGGATGACAAGAAAGAATAGCTCTGCAACCAACCCAAGTTAAAATCCCACCACTTACATATAAAACTGTTTGAAAGGAAGCTGCATGCACGTATTAACACCACAAGAAAGGCAAATATTGACTCAAAGCCTATTCCAGAGACTGTAGGCATACTCCATATACCAAGACTTATTATCAACAGCGACAATATCATTGTCCCAAGACCAATGCCCATCATTTTCAAATTAAATTCAGTCCACTTGGAACGAGCTAGCTTTGAGACATGATAGGAAATCAAGATAAATATTAACTTGCTTGGTAATCTGGGCCATTACTAAGCTACAGCTCTCAGCTTGGCATGACATTAAGTTTCTTATAGAATGGGACCAATTATCCTCCAACTCCGCATATTTGTTAGATATGTGAGCCAAGTCTTCAGATGAGAATCCAATGATTGATGAAGCTGAATAAACATCAATATATCTTTTGACCTGCAAAGAAAATATACATGTGGTTGGTAGAGGGAAGACAGGTGGTTCTCATAGCATGCCACTATGAAAACAGTAAATAACAAAAATTTACCTGCCAAGAATTTGTGCAAAGTGTATTCACATAGTTTTTCATCCATTTTTCCATCACTGACTGATGTTGGTGATTGGCAGTGTCAAGATCCCTCCAGTTCCATGTGCCAGCAGCTAAAGCATATAGCTCAGCGTTCACAGACCCAATGCTGGAAAATAGCATCTCAATCTGATTAAGTAACAATCCCAATAGAGATTTACTATATTTCAAAGAGTAAAAAGTCAATTTCTATAACTTTGCATCATGCACTTCCGTCAACCACATTTCCATTCACCTTCACATCTCATTAGCTCAAATTGTTTGCAACCATTTAACATTTCCAAGCTTCACCTTTGAACTGTAAATGCATGTGGAATATGCATATAACCACTTTAAAGAATCATGATAGGGAAATCTAAAAAGTTTGTGCATTGTATCCTTGTCATCATAAATATATATCTCATTCAAACACAAGATCTAACAGACATAAAGAATTCAGATCATGGTATCTACACATTCCAAGAGATTTCAGATAGTGCAACTGTTGAGGATGCTTATGGAATACCTTCCAAAAGGAAAGGAAACACCAAGCAATGCCGAGACAGTCGCTGCAAAGTCGAGCTACATAAAGTCACAGATATAAGATTTTGATAAAGGCAATCATTAAAATATCCATCAGCTTATTCTTTTACCTAAATCAGATTATGTTCACCTGTTGAATAGAGCTTACACACTTCTTTCCATTCTGAAATTAGCAGGCACATTTTATGTATAAGGGTCAGCAATCCATACAAATTACGCTACTGGAAAACAAAAATTTGGACAAAGAACGAATGGATGAAGATACATTTGCTCAGAGGGAAGGATTACTGAATCTAATAGACAAGACGAGGAATCAAATTCGTGAGGGACCAAAGATGGAGGCTGCTTAAAACCCATAGCAAACAATGTTGTCTCGACCTGCATCATGATTCAAGTTTATGGTATGATAGAAACCAGAGAAAACTGAAACCCAAGCAGGGATACATAACATATACCTCTTCAGCACTCCCTCCTCCATGATCGCCATTTAGTGTTTGTCCATGGTCGCCCATAACAAGCAGAACTGTATTCTCGTGTAAGCCGCCAGGTCCAGATTGTCTGACCAGCGTTTCAATTACTTTATGAAGAAAACGTGTGGGCAAATGATTGAGACTACGATTCAAATTCGATTTATATAATAGTCCCAACTCCCAAGAAGTTTGCAAGTTTAGCAGATTTGATGGTGGTGTTCGTAGCATGCATGCTACAGCTATGTAAAACACCCTCCAATTGAGACAACTAAAATACAGCTTGGTTTATGCATATTACCTCCAAAATCTCATTATATTGCTCCAATTTTTCTATCATTTGCATGGAATCGACACCAAATATGTGACCAGCATGGTCCTGCATAAAATATCACAAAGGATAATTTTCAAGATAAAATGCATACAAGCTAGAGAACTGAAGTCAGAAAACACATCAGGTTCTAGGGAGAAGGGCAACGTCATGGGAAGAACACGGTACTATATTGCCGCCCCTTCCAAATTTTGTTTAGCACAGATACCTGATTCAACATTCTTTTGTTCTTATCGTTTGTTTTTCATCGTTTTTCCTTATTCTTCATCCACTCATTAAAGTGAAGTTTGAACAAGGTATCAGTTAAATAAACCTACCATCTCAGTTATTGCATAAAAAGAAAAAGATTTTTATCTGACCAGTAGTGGTGAATGGAATTTTTTACTTGCTTTCCTTTTCCTATATGTTTTCAGGTTTTAACTTGTGGACTGTTTTTTCCTTTATTCAATTACGGTACTTAGTTGCAACTTTGTCATAGGCACCGTGATAGAATGATTGATGTATTCTTACCACACCGAGAAAATGTGCAATAAGTACATCCCAGTCTTCTTCATGTAAGGATTCAAATATGTGTGTGTTGCATCCGTTGTCGACCTGGAGCGTTGAATAATTTGAGCCATGTAAGTACCAAATGATGATTAGAAAACAGCTTGAGGAATCTCCATTCATGCTGGGGAAGGATGAAAATGGTGAGATGACAAACCGTATCAAGATCTTTGACATTAAAAGATGGATAAGGATAAGATTTGTTAAAATGGTCTGGAAACAACTGAACCCATGTGTCGTCGCCCATCATCACCACACGCTTTCCATTTGACACCAACTGCAAATTGAATCCAACATGAGAATTACACCACATCAAGAACAGTGGATTGATCACACAGAACTAGAAAAATCAAATGGGAGTTGTGCTTAAGGACCATTTGCAAATGAAACAACCAAAAACTGAGCAAACCTGATGTATTAGGTTGTCCTCAACAATCGCTGGAGCACCAAAGCTATTTCCTACATCAACAAAAGTAGGCAGCCCACCAGTGGTCAAGCCCTGAATATTGCAATATGCCAGTGTATCTTGTTTGTGGAAGTCTCAATTATAAATGCCAGAAAGATAGGGGGGAAATTTTCATCTTGGTTACAGCAGAGAGTAAATGCTCAAGGATGAATGGTAAGACTGCAAGGAAAAAGAAATATGGGTAAATGAATGGCATCAAGATAGGGATAAGTTTAGACCTTCAAGCGCTGAAGACTAGTAGTTGGAGGATCTGCAATAGCCTTGAATATCTTGGCAGATGACCCCTCTGTGAAGGCCAGATTCAGTAATACTGGTAGTTTGTCCATCCATGGTTTTTTCTCTGAGCATCAAAATCCAGGTTATATGACAGATCCAAAACTAAAAGCAGTTTTAGTTAAACAAAAAAATATGTATATTTCCAGAGAGAAAGAGCAATAAGAGACTAAGATTCAGACTAACCTGGGGAAAACGCACTGGGAGCAACAAAATCAAACCTAACAGAAAAGGGATATATACTTCAGCATTTCTGTTTCAAATTATAGCCAACCGAAACCCCACCAGAGAACAAATATTACCTCAGGGCATCCAGAATAATGATGACCAAGCGGTCCACAGCAGGTTTGCTCCAACAACACTGGTCCTTCTTCGTATTTTCCGAATGACCACTACTATGATTATCAACATTATAAGCAAGGAGATGCAGAGATATCAGAGCAGTTGCTGTAGTAGGAAGCTCCGTTCAAGTTAGCAAGAACCCTTTAGTGAATGAGTATAGCAAAGCCATGAAGTAATAATACCCCCCAAGGACACCATTTTTTCCACCTTGCTTCCATCTCGGTTTCCCCCGTAGCAAGAAACAGTAACTAAGCCTATCCCGCAAGCAACCTGCGAAGGATGAGAAACTCAGCCTCCCCTAGCATACAATCCACCAAATATGAGAAAACGCACAAAACTTTCAATTTTTCAAACAGAACCAGATCAAATTTGAGGGCATGAAATCTGAAGATATCTATCTACCTAATCACCAAATGTAGGCTAAACAAAACGCTTCTGCTTCCAATATGCTCACTTTAAGTACACTAAGCTTAACAAACTAAGTCCCAAATCATCAATACAGCTGGAAATGGAAAACAGATAACACATCAGGTTTCACAATGACAGTCAATTGAGTCAAAATTGATCTAACGAAACGAACAGGTAACAAGAAAATGGAGAAGCGACATGGCTACTGTTCATACCTGGTGTCTACTCCTCCTTTATTGTCGACCGCCAGCAATCCGAGGGCGGCGGAGGGAATGACGAGCCGTCGCGGCAGCCGCTGAATGACTCGTCGGAGGGTGAACAGTATTGAAAACTGAAAAAGGAGCTACCTTTTCAGTGTTAGAGCATTGAGAAATTGGAGCTCTAGACTGTAGGGATTTGATCTCTAATGGGTTGCTTAGAAAAATGAGCGAAAGGAAGAGAACTGATAAGTGTTTCTTCCCGAGCCCAATTTTTCGCGCACTTTCTGCAAACGGACCTTTTTTCTTTGTTTATTTATTTATTTCTTTTTTGTTACTGTAATTTGTTTATTTCTTTGAGAGAACGTATTGTCCATGGCAGGTGATTGGAATGCATTTTATGAACCCTCCTCCTGTAATGAAGCTAGTTGAGATTAGTGCAGGGAGCAGACACGTCGGATGAGACGTTTCTTGCAACCAAGTCCTTGGCAGAAAGGTCAGTATTTGGACTCTCTGAAACAAGTGCAACCATATGTAAATTGCCCCAGTGTCACTGAACATTATAAACTGGAGAAATCAAACATTGAAGTACAGTTTTTGTGGTAACTCAACCATTAAACTTTTGAGGAATTTGCAGAGTCTAGTGGCACCAGCCATCAATGGTATTTAAGTCCAGTGGCATCTGATCAATGTCTGAAAAATGTCTGTAAATGGTCACAGATTCAAGAAGACGGTGATCTGCTCTCAGGACTTTGCAGGCTTCATAGTGAACAGAATCCTGATGCTGATGATCAACGAAGCATTCCACACTCTCTACACAGGAGTCGCGACAAAGGAGGATATCGACGCAGGGATGAAGCTAGGGACGAACCATCCAATGGGGCCACTGGAGCTCGCTGACTTCATCGGACTAGATGTCTGCCTGTCAATCATGAAGGTTCTTCACAACCCAGCTAAACGAGGACAACCGTCTGCACGGCTTTGAACTGAAGCCTGACATAGTGGAGGGAAGAGAGGCCTTTTTGTAAATAAGAGACAATGATGGAGCTGCTTAGCTTCTCCATCTTCGTGTGAAGACTTGTTAGAGGCCATAAAAGTGAGCCACTAATAAAGGGCAGTGTTTGCGTTAGAAAGGTTTAGTAGCATCCATCCTTGAACATTGGTACTGTGCAAGGTAATTGAAAAAACTTGTCATCTTTTCTTTCCAGATGGACGACAGATTACTTCCAGTCGGAGAATCATGAGCAAGATAGACCTGGGGAAAGGAGATAAAGAGTAGACAGAGAATTCTTTAAGCCTTAAGAATTGGGATTCCTTAATAAGAGAATGTGACCTCCTTGGATTGCAAGTGAATTAACACAGAGAAAACTCTCAAACTATATCTACTACTCAGTTGCAACAGTACTCCAAGAAAACAGAAGAGCCTTTCTTATTTTTCCAAGCAAAAACAGAGTTGAGGTATTCGTCACAATCTCAAACCAACATTGCAGCAGAGTCTCCTAGCTCGCCATCAGGCAGCTGCAACATTGAAGCAGCGGAAGAAATAAAGGGCACGTGAGAGCCTCAAATGAAGTTCCGGATATCCAAAGATTTCACATCTGGCACTTCCTCGTCCTTGAATTCCTCCCTGTAACAAAGATCAGATTACATAATTGTTACATCCAAGTAGAGAGGTTAGGCTTATCATGTCCGTGTGCTATTCTCGTAAATACCTTTTCTTTTGGGTGTCCATGGCCTCTTCAGCCTCCTTCTTCAGCTCCTCTAATTGTGCCTTGGCAATTTTGAGTTCCAACTGTTCTTCATACTTCGGTAGGTCTTCCCTTCTAACTCCAAGCCTGATTATGAATATCAGTATCACAGGATATGAGATCATTCTAGCTTAATATTCCTTCAGATTTCACTAAAGAATAATTAAAATCCTAAACATATGAGAAAAACTTTAGAAGCATTACGATATCAATATCAAACAGGCAATCAAATTGGCCAAGACCATGAAAAGCATCATGACACAATAGAACAAGTGCAACAGCTTAAAACAGATTACTTCTACTATTCTCTCTTCCACCTCAAGAACTCTGTTTTATTCTGTACAGTTTATGTGATTCAATTACTCAATTACAATATACTTCTGCAAATTTTCTCCATTTGACTTTAAGGGACAGAACACAGCAGGCAGCATGACTGAGGACATGGTACCCGACACAATAGTTTGATAACATATGCCCCAGAAGAAACCAGTGAACGAAAACGTTTGAGACTTACTTCTGATTGATCTTGTCAAACTCAGCCATGAGACTAGCCATATTTTTCTTATCATTCCTCATGAGAGGTTTCTTGAGTTCTTTCTCAATTTTTTCCAAGGCATCCATCATCATAGCTTCAGCACCAAGCTCGTCTTTGAGACCCTGCCTGCACAGAGAAGGATATTAGAAAAGATGCAAATAAACAAAAGCATGCTATCTAAAATATATTAGGATACATGCCAAGGTATGCAAGGATCACATTGAAATATGTGAGAAGTGAAAAAAGCAATGGCTGATCAATAGAAACCACTACAGATCACATCTAGCCAAGCTTTGTACATAACAAAACTCAACAAAGTAATGGAAAGAGCTGGAAACTGTAACAGACAAGAAATTGAAAGGAATGTAGAGTGCATCAACAACACAGTGGTGAAGAAAGGAGAAAAAATAGCAAATGACTTTTTAAAACTATATAGATGGAAGGATGGGTCTATACTTGATTCTCATGTCCTGCAATTTCAGCAAGTAACCACGAGCATCTGGGATATCTTTTGTTTCTGACTCAATGGCATGCTTGATAGTTTGAGATTCAGTCCACAAATCAGTCCTGCAAGAGACACAAGTATCAGCAGATGAAATATGAATACAGACAGTGCGGATCTACGGCGCCCAAAACAGGAGAACCATAGCATACTTCTCTCTGACAGTCTTCATGACCTTTGCATATTGAGCAACAGCAGCTGGATCTTCAGGTGCAATGGTTATCTTCTCCTTTCGAAGAATTCCCATTGCAGTCTCAAACTTTTTCTTCACATCCAGAAAGATGTTCTTGAGCATCGCTTTTTCATACAAGGAAAACATAAAAGGTTGAAGTCAGCACGGACACTTAGTAAATTTAATAAAATCTGATAAGCATACAGCTACAGAAAGCACCTATAGCCCGCAATTTCAGCGACATGTACTAAGAATTTGTCTATAATCTCCCATATAGGTGAAAGATAATGCGAATAACAAAATACAACAACATAGTAGTAGTGTGGGACCAGGTCTAGCCTTTCCCAGGATTAATCAATCATAGGACTTGCACCTGAGCAAGTTAGGGTGCATTATATAAACCCTACAGTTCTTGAATGCCTACCCTATTACATATAAGATAGGTTCCTATCTCAGGGAATGGCTCACAACCATAATAGCATCTCAGCGGAAGGGAATCATAACCTGAATTTACACACATTGGTCATAGTTCCATCCAAAAAGTACAGCTCTGAAAATATACTATTCTAGAAAACAGTTTAAGGCAATGGTGCTACCACTTTGTACTAATTTGTAGATTGATTAAGGTGGCTCTACAAAGCCTTTTTAAGACTCGGCAAGAAATAGCGCTATGACAAGCATACTTACCATCTCCCTTCAGTTCCGGCTCAGACTTGGCCGAAAAGTAACGAGCTGGAATGGCAGACTCATGCGGTAGAACAACCTGACTAGCATAGAGCTGCATAGTTCCAAAAACAAGAAAGATATCAGCAATAAAGTACAATAGATACTCGGCAAAATGGATAAAGATAGAAGGAAAGGATACCCAGAACTGAGGTATACATCCAGACAAGATGCCTCAATTCAATACCATCTTACAGAAACAGAACCTCGCATTCATACCCGCGATGTTTAATAAAATATCCTAAACTTCCAACACTAACCCATTATTCATTTCCTAAAAAATCAAGGACAAGTCACTAACTTTTCATCGCCCCTCCGGTTCATACACTCTCAATTACACGATCCCACCTAAATTCCACGAGCCCCTAATATACGACCAAAAGCCTACGCATCGACACACACCCGCCAACGATCAGCCGAAACGCCGCAAATGCCCGACTAATCGTAGAACTCGAAGGGGGGGAAAAACTCACCGCCCGACGATTTCGAAGACCAGGAAACAAAGGGTAAATTGATCGTCGCCAAATGTTTATCAGATAACATCCGCGATTCGAAACGCACGAAATGGAGAAGGTGAAGGGGAAATTTACCTGTCTGGATCTGGACAGGAGACGGGAAGCCATTGATAACTAGGGCAGAGCTCACTTTCTTTCTTCTTCTTCTTCCGGGAAGGGATTTTTCGCTGCAAGGGACTGCTAATTTGAGCTTCGGTCTCTGCTTTGTATATCGAACGAAAAAAAAGGTTCTGTGCGTCTGTGTTTCCTCTTAGGTCTGCGTTTTATTCTACGCCGTTGGATTTCCGGGTCATCCATGATGATTGATGCCCGCCCCGGGATTTTAATCGAACGGTCAGTATTCTGCTGCGAGTTGTTTTACCTTTTCTGTCCTTTCTTTTTTCTAAATTTTACACTTTTTTGGTAGGGGTGGCCAATGGGCGGGTTGGGTGGATTTTGGTCTAAAATTGACCCACCCGCTTACTAGCGGGTTGAAATAATTGTGACCCGCAATCCATCCATATACTTCTGCGGGTTGGGTGGGTGGCGGATGGGTGTGGTTGGGTCGCGGGTCAACCCGCAAAAGCAATTTTCCAACTAGCCATTAAGAAAATTGACTAACATTTATAATAAGTTCATAGAAAAATTAGTAAGATTGTATCAATAATTTGTGATTTTGATACAATTAATAATTTATAGTTTGCATCCCAATATTTAATGATTATTAACAATAATCTGCATACCATTATAAAAAAAAACAATAATCTGCATACCAATATCTAATATCTAAAGGATATTGCACAGCACAATGACCAATAAAAGTTTTTCACCTTTTGAAGTATATGGTCAGACTGTAGTGCAGTTCGAAAATATGATGAATATTCGATACTATAAGAAACAACATTTTTCATGTAAAAATGGGATGCAGGTCATATGGGTGACCCGCAATCCACCCACCATTCACCCACATAAATGTGGGTGGGAGATTTACCAATCCGCAATCCATCCATATCAATCACCCACTGCGTGCGGGTCAGGTTATTTGCTAGTGGATCGATATCAATCCGCGGATTAACCACCCACGCCTACTACCCCTACTTTTTGGTATGTTTCACATCAAATTTGTCCTTCTAATATTAAAGTGATACCAAATATGTTCTTCCGTTATATTTTTCATCTGTGGTCTGTAATTTCGATCAAACCATGGTTCACTAGATGGAAATATCATTTGATCATTTCTACCCTTAACAATTTGTCTACCGAGAAAAGAAAAATCAAAGATGAACGGCAAACAACTAGAGTGCAACGACAATCTTTTCCAGCAGTGAACGATGCAACAATAAGGAGCTTCTCTGATTGTGTTATTTGTGAAGTTGATCCCCGAATTTGATTACTAAAACTGCTTGAAAATTACTTCTACAGAAAAATTAACGCATTGCTGTGTTCAAAAACTTACAAGTCATTTTTCTCAAAAAAACAAAAAAAACAAAAAAAAAAAACTTACAAGTCATAGTGTTGGCTATTTGGTCCAAGTTTTTTGGTTTTATCCGAAATCGGATCGTATAACCCGAACCAAGAATGAACCGGGACCGGATAGCAAATAATCCAATTTCATTTTTATTTTTCGGACTTAGATTTGAGGTAAAATATCGTTTGGGACCGGATAGAAAACCGGATAAAGACGGAATAAGTGAGCCCAACACCCAAAACTTAACTAATTCCTCATCCTTCAGGCATCAGGCAACTCAAATCCACACAAGCTAAATCTAAAATCAAAACCAAATTGGGACCGGACCGGGTCAAGACCGGACTGTATCCAATCCAATCTTTGATCGTTACATTCCCGAAAAGACCGGACCAAAACCGAATCGATTCGGGCCAATTTAACCGGACTGGACCGTATAGCCACCCCTAAGTCTGATCACCAAATTTGTACATTCTCTATTCCTCTTTATCTTTGAGCCTCCCTCTTGTTTCCTCTCTTTTGCAGAATAGTCAATGTGAAATGAATCTATCAATTAGAGCAGATACATTCATCCAGAAGGTGACTTTAAGAATGTGGTTATGGAAAAAATTAGAATTTATTTAAGTGAACTTGATTATGTTTAACCTTTGATCACATACTAACTCATACATGAAAACTGAAAATTCTTATCAAAATGGTTCTTTCACGATTGGAGCTTTAAACATTCATATATTGGCTTTGCCTGCTCCATCTCATGTTTGGTCTCATGCACATTGACTTGGATTTTCCCTTCCAACCATGCTTGAACAATGGAGGTAATATGTGCATGCCACTAGTTATTGTTGTTGTTGTTGTTATTGTGTTTTGGAGGATGCGGTTTATCGACAAAAGTTAAGTTGAAAAATCCTAAAGTTACGAGATTGACATATTACGTCGTGTGAGATTTTTGTGATACTTCGTTATTGTTTGATGATACCTTGTTATAATCAAGGAGTAATGACCGATCACATATTTTAACACAATCTATTGTGAACTTCTTCTGTATGAAGGTATCAAACTGAGAGTTTTCCTAGCCTCGACAAATTAAAGGTTCTGCTCAAGAAGGAGGAACAAAATTCTGGGTTTCTTGGATTATAATGTCTTTACTAACACGACATTCAGAAATCCTTCAAGAACACACTTGAATTGGGATAATGTACAATTCGTCCAAAAAGATATCCTCTGTCCTAATTGATTTTACAGAGCATATAGCAACAGATTACAACAATGGAGAGAAGAAAGAAAAAAAAGAATACCATTTAATTTAACCACAATTAAACTCATCTATGTCATTGAAAAAATCCTGAAAAATGGTCATGTCGCTCATCAGATCGGCCAAATCCGGGATCGGCCCGGGGATCTCGAAATCCGCCAGGCACTGGAAAACCAGGACCCCTCCGCCGTTCAGATCTCCCCGGCCGTCGTCGACGAACGGCCGGTAGCAGCCAGCGGAGGAGGAAGAAGACGAGCAGGGGGTTGGGTTCGGGATCGATTTCCCGACTGGGCTTCCGCCCCCGCTGCCGCCGAGGGCGTCGGAGGCGCTCCTGGCCCTCTTGTTGTGCCAACGCGGTATGACCAGCCGCCGCCGGCCTCCCTTCTGCGGCGGCGGCGGCCGAGGGCGAAAGGGTCCTTCCTCGCCCCCCGCCCTGGAAATCGTGGCGGATTTCGACGACGATCGACGCTTCTTGCCGATGACTACGTTGATGCCGGCGGGATCGTCGGGTTTGGGATGCTTCCGCGGCCTCCCTCGGCCGCGACGCACTGGGGCGACGATCGTTTTCCCGATCATTGGCGGATCTGGGACCGGCGGAATTGTATGATCCGGCGAAGATTCGGATTTGTTTGTTTGTTTAAAAAAATGGGAAATTGTTTTCTTTTCGTTTTAGGGTTTATGGTGAATTTTTTTTAATGTTACAGATTTGAAAGGTTAAAATTGGGGTTAGAGTTTGTTATTTAGGAAGCAAAATTTTGATTTATTGTGTTTGCTTTTTAGATTTGATTGAGTAATTTGATATTATGTAATAATCTACCAAGTTTAGGATTCTATTTACAACAATTAGTTGGATTAATTCCAGTTGCGATGACGATTCACTCGAGACACTATTAAGGTATGGCTTTTAAACGTGTTGATTTCGTTGTAGAACGTGTAATGAATTCTATAAAAGAAATTTTGTTTTGTGAAATTTGTGTGTACGTGACACTTCTAATGAATAAGTTAAATGGAAAGTTGAATTATCCTAATAGATTGATAATGTGCTTATGTCCACAAAGTATATATACGTCGATAATGTGCGTATGTGACTGCGTGTTTATATCAAAATATTTTTCTCCTTAAAGCACCACGTGGACTATTTTGGACGGTTGGACCACTTTATATAGTTGGGTCCATTCATAGTAGATTGATTGTCTGGATGGGCGGTATATTGGTGGATAATAGTTGGGGCGATGTGACCATCTCGTACTTGATCACCAAGTGTTCAGTCCTAAGGTAACCATTCAGCCTCATAGTGGATGGTATACCATTCCACATCATAGATACTATCCAACCCTACGGTGGATGCCTAGATGGTACCATTCCAAATATCATGGATACCATCCCACTCACAAGGTGGATTATACCACCCCATATAGTGGACACTATCCAACCTCTTAGTGGATGGTGACACATCATGGATACCATCCAACCCTACGGTGGATGGTACCGTCTCAAATATCATGGACACCATCCAAAGTGCTAATTGGATGATACCATTCCATATCATGGATACCATCTAAAATAGTAGTTGGACGATTTCATCCATGAAATAGGATGACATAATGAGGTGTCTAGAGACTTCCTACGACGACAACTAACTTGCGTAGAGGCTAAACGAAGCTACTTTTGGAGGAGGAGAGAGAGACCAGTTGGACGACTCCGGGCAACAAAACTTAAAGCAACCTTCTAGAGCAAGACAGACAATCACAACCCAAGACACAAACAACTTGTCTCAACTGTCCATGTTATAAACGCGCTGCTACGGATCGGGAAATCGCTGGAATCGACAAAGCAAGAATACGAAAGCGAGAATCGAAAACACGACACACGATTTAAGTGGTTCACTAATATGATGTGTGTTAGCTACGTCCACGGGTGAGAGAGAGCCAATTTCACTATATCAAGGAGATTACAGATTACAGAAGAGTATGAGAAGTATTTATAGTACTTCTCCATGTGGGTCTAAACCTAATCCAATCTGACAAAGGAAACGGTTACAGACCAGGCCCAGAACCCATACACCGTGGGCGTTGCCCCCGCACCCCCACCGGGGCGTTGCCCCTGGACCCCACTCGCTGACAGGGCAGCGAGACCCCCGATTACCAGTCGTAGCGGCTGATAATCCGATTCAAGTCATATCAACAAATCTCCACCTTGACTTGAATCCTCTTCCTCTGAAATCTCTGATGTACTCTGCTGCTTCTCTCTCTCTCCCGCCATCAATGCCCCGTAGGGCGGAGTCACCCACTCAAGACATTCAGCGAGACCCCCGATTACCAGTCGTAGCGGCTGATAATCCGATTCAAGTCATATCAACATAAACTAACGTGAGAGTGATTAAATGTGACCAGTTTCAGTAATTCGAGTGACCAAAATTGATATTAAATTTTTCTGGTGCTAAACATGACACGATTTAGTAATCTCAATGACCAAATATGACATTTATCCTGTGATTATTAAGGAGTTTTTCAGTTTTTGACTTTTGTG